CTAGAAACCACCATTTAAAAAAAGGAAGCGGATAATAGAATTTGGAATATATAATGTAAAAAACCCACAGATTGTTGTAAAAATTGCACATCTAGTGACCAAAATTCTTTGCTTATTCCATGTCCCCTTTGTCCTCTGGACTGGAATTGTATGCAGAGACAACGTACCTTCATGGTTGGGTCTTTCTCTACTAGTGGGCGACAATATACAGGCACGGGGACGTTCTTCATGCGAGTGTCTTCCTGACCACCATTGGGACTCAGCTGTGGGGGAAGAGAAGACGAAAAAGACAGTACAAAGCTGTAAACACCAGGCTATGGTAAGAGACATGTAACCAGTATGGCAGAACCGAACTTCTTATCTTCACAGGTTGGTGCTGCTGAGGCTTCACCTCACATCTTGTATGGAACAGAGTCCCTGCAGGGATGGGAACAGCTTACCCAAGAGACTGCCTCTTTCACCATGATACGGTGCCCCAGTTATGGCCAACAGAGGCTATACGCTGCACTGCTGATGGAGAAAGTGTTGTTAATGGATGGTCCCTGCAAAGAAGTCAGAACACTGGCATTCCCTTCCACCATGGCCTGAAACTCATCCACTTTCAAGCCATACTGCAATACCCCTTCGTTTCAGGTGGTCTTTGACCAGGACCAGTTAAATAGGTCATAGGTCAACAAATGAGGCTGATGGTATTTGATTTTGTGTTACTGCTGGGGAGAAGTGGGAGCAAACTGCAGTGCATTTGTTTTTTATACTAAATGACTGGTAAAGTTCTCAGAGTATAAATGAAGTATCTAATGTTCAAGCCCAATTATAATAACAAAGGAAATAAAAACAAGTACTGGGCTCTGGACAAAGATGATTAACTACTTTTGGTTAGGTTCTTTTAGCACCTTCATGCAGAAGAATGCCCTCTCCATTGACTTTGGTGGAGATACACAAAAGATTAATTTAATCTGTGCCTACAATTATCAGAAATAAAACATGCATATGATACCTCTAAATGAAACAGTTAAAGACTAAGGCTAAGGTTACCAATGGGGGAGTTAGGTATTCACTGGTTTCACTGTGGGGGACAATGTCCCCTCAGCCTGTCCAGAGAGTGGTCCCTACCTGCTTGTACTTGGCAGGGAGGCTCCAGCCGCAGGCCTGCAATCTCCCATCATCATTCCGCACATGCTCCCGGACCTGGCGGTACTGCTCCCGTTTCTGCTCACGACGTGCTGAGGACGTACAGTCACTAAGGAGAGAAGCAACAGCATTACTTCTCAATCTATGGCTGAAAACAGAAGCTGAAGGTTAAGGGAGTGTCGCCACAGTAGGGGGAGGAAACACAAAGCAAACCAATCCATCTTTGCAAACAGATGCAGGAAATCAGAGAGAGAAAAACCCTGTTAAGAAGCAGACATAGGCATCCCTAATCTCTAACTCCCTGTTACCTGAGCAATGTGGCAGGCCAAATCATTGTCATTTCCACTTCAGTGCATCAAGAGCCCTTCAGAAACAGGGAATCAACCTTCCATAAGACCTATGAATGTATGAGATTACACCAGTTTTTGCTTAGCTCTTACAATTTACTGGTCTAATGTCTCCATCAGGAAGGTATTTTGAGTTCTTCCCTTCTTCCTTATAGTCAACTATTTTTTTTTTCTGTCCACTTTAAAGCTTTCTCTGCTGACAAGGAAAATGTGCACTAACTGCTATTGAAACTGCTGGTTTCAAAAGAACAACTCCAGCTTTGCACTGGCAAAGGTTAAAAGAAAAATTGATCTGTGAGCTCTTAAGATATGTTTTAATACAAACAAAGGCTGTTTGAATATCAGTTCCAGCTCTCAACAGGTTTTTAAAGTATCATTCCAAGCTACAAACATCATCAGCAAGAAAATCCAATCCTAAACAAAAACCCCTACACATACACACATAATGACATATGTACTTAAACCAAAAACAACCCCCTGATAAAACAAAACTCTTCCCTGCACATGCTTCCTCCCCTGGGGAGAGGATGAGAGAACAAACAGCTTCTGACAGCGGTTAGTCACATCGTTTAATGTACTGCTGAAAAGCAGTCAGACACCACTCAGTGACTATGATACTGTAATCAAATAAAAAGAACAGGATAAAGGCAGTGGGTATCTATAAAATACAAATTTACTCTTCTAAAGACAATCTAGCACCTTTCCAACAGATCCTTCTTATTGCACAAGTTATAATACTTTACCATCACATTCTCCAAAGTCCTTCCACAAAAACATACCACATATGAAACTGTACAACCTCGTAAATGGTAGAACACATGCATTTTGAAGTCAGGTAAACCACAGAGTTTTTTCTCTTCATGTCAGAGACATAAAAGATAGGGAGAACACTGCAGTAGCAACATTTAGAGGCTCTTTTTTAGCATGGTTAAGATCAAATACTGTAACCTAAACGTGCTGTTCAGAGAACTTTTGTCTTCCCCTAAACTCTGTGTCAACAGCATTGGGCAAGACACTCCATCCTGCTGTCCCAATGCTGCCATCACACTCTACCACAACAGCCCTACTTCATTCCATTGCACAGTCTGCAAACAAAGAGTGCAGAACTAGGGTTGAGGCCAACTCAAGCCTGCAGTGGTCCCTGCTGAGATGAACCATCATGGCCTAGAAAGCCATGGCAGGAATACGTTTGGGAGGACAAAGTTTGCTGAGCCCATCCACATGGTAACTGATGAGTGAAAGATCAGGGAGATAATCCACAAGAGACAGAAACATATTAACACCACACAGACTTCTTTTAAAGTGGAAAACAGCTTATTTTAAGAAAAGCTGCTATTTGGGAGAGCTGCAGAGGGAACCTGGCTGGGCACACAGCATGCAACTCACTCTTCAGGGAAGAACTCCAGCGTGCGGCTGCCGGAGGAGATCTGGCACATGGTGTGACTGCGCCGCTGGCTGAACCCTGCTGCTGTTGGAGACTTGTAGTGGATGTTCACAGATGGGTAGGTCCTCTTTGCTGGTGGGGGACTCGAGGAAGAGCTGAACAGACGGCTGAAGCTAGGGACAGAAAAAGGCCAACAAATATGAGAAAAGGTGCCTGGGGAGACAACACACCATAGATTCACAACAGGGGAAGCAAGATGCAGTCAGGGGCTGTAAGCCCTTCATGAAACCTGCACTACTTCAAACATAGAGCTAAGTGTTCAGTTTGATTGACATAAGTTGGTTTTAGCTTCCAGAAACGGATACCTTCTGAAAACAACCCTTTATTAAAACTGATTGTGAGTGTATGTATGTTTCCATTCCAGGGTACTCGTGAACTTTTTCAGCTTGTAAAACAAAACCAATGCGGATGTTCAGATCTGATTCTAATTTCACTAAGGACAAAGGAAGCTCTTGAAGGCAAAAGGGTTCAGCTAACAACACTTTCAGCTGACATTTCATTAATGTCAGAGCCTATTAAGTTGCCGTCTAAAGTAAAAATAGTAACACTTCCCCTTTTCTTAATCTTACACAAACCACCAAAGAACTTACAACTGCCAAATGGTGGATTTCTTCTTCTCCTGGACAGATGGGTGCTCACGGGAAGCTCTAAGGACAAACACAGCAGAAGCAAGTTAATTTCAGCATCTCTTAGCCAAGTTTCTGCCAACCAGCAGGCCATTTTCATCAAGAAAGCCATGTCAAAATTCAGAATTCATTCTAACATGTTACAAAACACAACAGAGGAAGTGACATGCACTGGTCTTCAATGGAAGCACACTCAACCACTTTGTGTTTCAATGTTGACATGAAGTGCAAGTAAGTGGGTTCAAATCGAAGTTTTACAACTCTCTGCAACATTATCATTGCCAAAGTACAGTCCAGTAACTACAAACCCCAGTATTACATTCACTTCCAGCCATAGCCTTTAGAATTCATTAGTTAGAAGCAACACTCTTCCCTACAGCTTCTCCTAGCTTACACAAGAAACAAGCAAGACAAACAACTGCCCAGTGTCTCCAAATAACAACGGCAACTCGAGATTTGCAGCCCAGGTCCAGGAATAAGAGAGAAAGAATTAGATATTAGAAGAGAAGCATCTACAGTTTGGAAAACTTTCAGCACTTCTCAACCCATATCTTGGTAGGGGTTCCATCGACCACAAGGTCAAACATGGCCAGGTTCTGTCCTAAATAGGAATGGTCACCAACACCCAGTCTCACCTGATCATCTCTGTCCACCTGACAGCCTCCTGGAGCTCCATCAACCTTTCTTTGTATTGATTGCGCTCCATCAGAACCCTGGCCATTTCCACACGGGTGAAGCGACGGCGCTGAGCTATGGGAATGTTGTCCTGCAGAGGGGAGGAGCACTGCTTCAGCCAACAAAAGATGGAAGGGGATTGATGTTAGTACAGGGCAAGTCAGGAGGCAGAAAGACATATTTGCTAGCTCTCCTCCTGTTCTGTTTGATTACCCCCTGATTTCCCCATACGAGGTGCTAATTCTAGACAAGGTATCTCCAAACTATGGCCCATGGACCTCTGGGGTGTTCTGCAAACTCATGGAAATTATAATTAGAACCACCACCAAATTGAAAACCCCACCCAGGGACTACTGCCAACAAGGTGCTTTGATAGTCTGCAAGGAATTATGAGAGTTGACAGTGGCCTGTTGGTCCAGAAAGTTTGGAAACCAAAGTTTTAGTCCATTAGCAAATCCAGTCACAAGCAGCAGAGAGCACCACGTAATGCCACCTGCCCCCTCACGAGGACTAGGAAGGAGGCATTCTGTTAGTACACACTAATAAAGGTGGAGGGCACAAGAAACTAAAGAAAAGCCTTTTCCTCTTTGGTGACACAACTTGGCCTTCCAATGAGGGCACATGCGGCTTTGGGTTAGGAGGCAACAGGAACGAGATTCTGTTCGTCTCTTTTGAGGAGTGGAAAATGAAAACAACATGGCTAAGTTGGGGAAAGTATCTGCCCAAAAACAAATCATAAGGATTTTGGGAACTCATTACTAGGGTAGTGGCACTGGGTTGTGCCTAGACTGTGGCAATTCCCAAGCTCGGCCTGGCTGGTGAGTACTGCTGAATAGCACAAATTAACCAAGCCCCTCTCCAGCCTCCCTGGACTTGGAATAAACTGTATGACCAGTCAAAACAAGAAGTGTACAAATGAAAAGGAATTTTACAAACTTTTTTTTTTAAATTTAAAAAACCAGGCCTTCTGTCAGTTCAGCTTAAAAGAAATCCAATCCTCTTCAGCATTTCACAAGCACAACTTGAAAATTTTCCTACCCACCCAAATTCTCAACAGACCAAGTTCGCCCCAGTTGAGTCAAGAGACTTGAATTCAACCTGCTCCAATACCTTTTACAAAGTAAGAACACAGTAATATTGAAGTGTATCTAATTCCCTGTCCTAGCAGAGTGATGTTTACAAGGAAAATCTCTGTTACTGCTTTGGTTTGCATTTTTTTTTTTTTTTCTGTCTGTCTTTTTTTGCTGTAACAGGCAGTACTGGCTTATGTAAAAGAACTAACAAGAAAAACAATGCCGCAAGATTAAGATTACAGAAGTAATAAAAGAAGGCAGCTACTGCTACAAAGCTGTCTGTATAACCTGGATTTCACTGTGCAATGTCCTCATGTCTTATAGCTTCACTGCCAACATGGAGACAAGCTCTTCTGGAGAAGCCTGACTAACACAAGACCCTGAGAGAAACCACACTGCACACTAGACTGTAATTCAAAATTAGGGAGAACCAGTGTCCTGGTTTCGGCTGGGATAGAGTTAAATTTTCTTCCTAGTAGCTGGCATAGTGCTGTGTTTTGGATTTAGAATGAGAAGAATGTTGATAACACACTGATGTTTTAGTTGTTGCTGAGTACTGCTTATGCTAGTCAAGGACTTTCCAGCTTCCCATGCTCTGACAGGTACACAAGAAACTGGGAGGGGGCACAGCCAGAATAGTTGATCCAAACTGACCAAAGGGCTATTCCATACCATATGTCGTCATGCTCAGTATATAAACTGGGGGGGGTTGGCCGGGGAGCAGCAATCACTGCTCGGGAACTGTCTGGGTATTGGTCGGCAGGTGGTGTGCAATTGCATTGTGCATAATTTGCTTTGTATATTATTATTACTGTTATTATTATATTGTTGTTATTACTACTACTATTTTACTTTATTTTATTTCAATTATTAAACTGTTCTTATCTCAACCCGGGAATTTTCTCACTCTTACTCCTCTGATTCTCTTCCCCATCCCACCAGGGCAGGGGGAGTGAGCAAGCGGCTGCGTGGTGCTTCGTTGCTGGCTGGGGTTAAACCACAACAACCAGATAAAATGGGAAGGTGCTGTGCAGGGCACTGCTGTAGCACCATTCTGCAGAAACCACATCGTGCACGGTATTACCACTGTGTTGGCTGCTCACCTTTGCCAAACTATGGTTTGAAAGTCATATGAAGAGGTAATCTCATGGCATCTGTCTATTAGCAATGCTTGTTAGGAACAACCCACATGCAGTTCATCAGCTTTGCCCTCACTGTTAACGAAGGCAGATCAATCTGCATCTCAGGACTCATACATATGAAGTAATATAGAGTAAGTATATAAACCCCTTTCCCCACAGGCATTTTAGTAATGTAATATACCAATTCTGTACAGAGATAGCTGCTTACATCCTCCACCTCCTCTTTGGGTTCTCGTCGGGCAACAATTGCTTCAGATTTCACTCTAGGAAACAGGAAGAAAGGCATCAAACCAGCAAGTGATACCATGGCTGGCCCTGAGGTGTTTTGGGAGGACAACCATCTATGGGAAGGTCTGTCTGCATGCATCACAAGGAAATGTTTTTAAACTGCGAGCTAAGTGTACAAATTATGAGATGCTTCTCTGATATTTTTCCGTCTCTCTTGCAGCATGTTACTGTGAACAGCTTCACCAACATTACCCCATTTCTTTGGAACATTTGATGTAAGCATCGAAATACTGACCACTGGAACAGTCTATCCCATTTCTATTTCAAAGCCATAATCTATGTTCTAATGCTTGATGAGATCTTAGCCATGGGAAAACTGAGCTATTATCAGCAGTGAAAATGCTGGCTTAAGTTCTTCTTCTGGGCTGCTTCTGTTTTCAACACAGTAAAAAAAGCCTCTAATGTGAAGGACAGCTTGCCATAATGGTAAAGAAGAGAACACCAAATCCGTGTTAATAAAATACTTAAAGTATTTATCTGAATGCTTTTAATTTCTTTAAACTCCATACTGATGTGCAGTCCTGCAGTCCCATTTGAATTACAAGCACTTTTATTAACAGCAAAGACACTGTGGAAGAAAAATGCTGCATCCATCTACTAAAAAGGCACACTTGCCAGTTGAAAGTCCCTGTCCCTACTGTATATTAAATATATTATGTATATTATTAGAGACTCAAAAGGGGATTTTAAAAAAAACAGACCTATTTCCACTGCTCCTGAAACACCTTTCATTTCAGACATTTTGAACAACAAAGAGACCAGTCTGTGTTATTCTTGGTGACTCTGTGGTCAGATTACAGAGGCAATGTTCCAGATTCCAGCTGCAAAATAAAGACTGTTCTCTGAATTGAGATGCCACAGTGCAATGTACAGCTAGTCAAAATGTAATGTTGCTTTGAGCCCTGTGGGGCATCTTTAGTTTTATGGATGTGAAATCATCACAGGCTTTGCTAGGCTTTGGTTTCTCTAGTTTGAGGGGAAAATAAGAAGTGGGATCTCTCCAAATGCTATCTGCCCAGGACTTTAAAATCTCTTCTGCCTCTTCTTCTCATTCTTAACATGAACAATGAAACAATTAACAATACTGGCATTTAAACATTGTTTGTGGGAATCTGTATTAGCTCTTTCATTAAATGAATGGGCATTCATTCCTCTCAGAGTTGTCTTGGCTGCTGCAAGGATCAAGCTCTTGACAGTTTCCTTCAAAACTATTGGTTTTGAACCCCCCCCCCTTTTTTTTTTTAATTGCAAATTGAAACTCTGAATGCTTCACCCCAGGGACCCCTGCTGCAGAAGGCTGCTGCAGAATCCTAGTCCTGGGGAGGAAAATTCTGCGGGTTTTCTAAGGTTCAATAACCCATTTCAATCCAATAAAAACAACATAACACTAAAAGTATCTCAGCCACCTACCATCACCCCTGAAGTGCTCTGTAAGGTACGTTTGAACTCCAATGCTAACCTCCATGACAGTAACACCAACAGAGTAGGTGGGTTTATCACTCATGTCCTCCCACCTTTCTGGGGCAGGGTGTGAATCACTCACCTTTTGAGCTCCTCCTCCAGCTCCTTGACTCTGGTTTCCATTTTGGCTTTGGCCTGCTTTGTTGCTTCGAGCTCTCCCTTCAGCACTTCTTGCTCTCCAGACAGCTGGTCCACCTTGGCAATCAAATCATTCTTCACAACGTTCAAAGCATTTCTTAAAGGTGTGAAAGGGATAATTAGCAAAAATGCCCCAAACCAGCAGCTGTCTGTAAGAGAGACCTGAAACTAAAGTCACAGGCACTACAAAGACAGTTGAAACAAGTTTATTTGAACAATTCAGTCCAGCTATAACTCATGGAAGAGTAGATTTTGGCAAGAAGGAGCTGCAGAAGAACACAGAAATCACCATAATTGGTCAGGATGTGGTTTGTCCAGTCCTGTACCCTGACTGACAGACCAACATCTCCTTAAGAAGATGGCAGAATACTGCAGAAAGCAGGTGTAGGTGTATCACCTGCATAAGGTTCAAATCTATTTTTAACAGAATGCAGATCTGAAACACATCTTTCAGAACTGCTGTTACCTGTAATTGTGGATGATGGTGATATAAATAAGCATTTCCAATCAGCTCCAAAATATCTTAACATCTTTAAAATCAGCAGCTTCCTATCATAGTAAGTTCTCCAACTCTCCCCTTGGGAGTACTTTGCCTTCCTCTTCCTGGCTGCTTAGTTTTAGTATCTGGTTTGCCAGCCTTTCTCAAAAAGTAAGTCCATTACATTGTCTGCTTCTCCTTTACCAACTGTTAAATCTTTGAAAACTCTTCTCAATAGTAAGAAAATTTTCTTTCCAAATAGTAATAAACAGCAATATCCTCACAGAGGCTCAGACCCACATCTAGATTCCCACTGTAGTTAATTAAAAGCTTGAAGTTGATTTCAATTGGGATCAGACCATGCCCAGAGACTTCACCCAAGTGCCTGCAGAAAGGAAACAGGAAAGTTGCTCAGAAGAGCAATTCCTCTTCTACAACTGAAGGAACAACAAGTATTCAAGAGAACCCATTAGATAAACGAGAAAGTCCCTGTGAGGCCAGAGTTCTGGCCAAGACCTACTTCAAGATGACATTTCATTTATAACTAGGCAGGCAGTTCAGAGCATGCACAGAGTACACAGTCCCTTACTTGGTCTCCAGTAGCTGCGAGTTCTCCAACAGCAGATTCCCCACTTCTTTGCCCATTCCTGAAAAGAAAGGCCAGGCAGTTTTCACCTGCTCTACTAGAAATATGAAGCTTGTGTGGCACTGCCTGACTCATGCTTGAGGAAGAGAAATCACTTTTATTAGGCTTCCCTAGACTTCTGTGTCCTGCTGTGAAGAGTGGAGTGCCTCTTGCTGGAAGACCATGCAGCACAAGGAAAGACACCCATGTGTCCTTCTGTAAAGAGCCCAAATGCAGACCTATCTTCTTACCCCAACTTTCACAGACTCCCTTGAGAGGGACAGAGAGGAGAGCTTCACTAACACCAGTTAGGGGAAGTCAAGTCAGTAACTCCAGGTTCACCCACGAGCTATTGCAACCATTTTTTTTCATCACTCATACAGAAAGAAGGTTCATGGGTTTTTCACAGAGGGCAGCAGAACACTGTCCAAATTGCTGGCCACATCTGCACATCAGTGATTTTCTTTCTTTCTTTCTTAGTATAAGCCAAATTTCTCAGTACAAATTTCTCAGTACAGATTTGGGATCATGGTTGTGACCAGTTTCATGCACATGAAAGGCTTTCCATTATCAGCCTTCCAACCAGAGCAATTTAACAGGACTTTAGATTGTCCATTGTTCTATCTACCTTTAAGAGTTTTCTCAGAGATGTTTAAAATCTGAAATCTCAGTCCCATCACTTAAGACCCACACTCAAGAGAACATCTACATCAGACACACTGCACTTGCACTTGGGCATCGATGTATGACAACTGCAATATGCAGATCGGGTTGCAAGCACTTTGAAAAATCTGGGGCTAAGAGCGAGGGTCAAATTCAGTATTTCATAAAACCAAATGGAAAGGAATGTAGGGACCAAAAGCACATCTGGATTGCTTCCTGCTGCAAGGGACTTGCTGGCTCCCAGGGTCAGCTTCTATCTTACAGTGGGGAATAGAGGCCACCTGAGAGGTAAAGGCAAAAAGACCTCTGCCTGTCAGGGGACAGTGCTGAAGGTTGCAGCTCGTTTCTCACCACAGCTCCCAGAGCATGAAGAAGTCTCACAACCATCAGTGTTTGTGCTGACGTGCTCCTTGTCCTGCCCTCTGAACTACCTCTTCCTTTACAGCAAAGACATCAACAGTTTTCATGATCTGTTATTTGCTGAGTAATTAATATTTGCAATAAAATAAAAACAACACAAACTTGAAGTAAATGGAAGTTCTAGAGAAACATGGTAGCATACAAGAAGTGAGAACACATCACAACACTCCAACATACAGATCCTCTTTCCACAGTTAAATGGTATGAATTTATGATGGCAAAAGCAAATTCCCAGCAAGAATGAGTAAGAAGCAGTGTTTTCAAATAACTTTTGAAAAATTAGTAGACAGATAATTAATCACTTTGATGTTTCAGGCAATGTGTTCTTTGGATGCTGTGTCAAAGAATATTGCAAACAGCAAAAAAGTGAGAGACACTAACTGCAGTGTAAACAGAAGTGTATTTTTAGTTTGGTAAGGTGTATGACCTATAGCCCTTTCTTTTGCAGCGTGCTGTATGTTGATTGGAAGACCAAGTCGTCATCTGTTTATTAAATTATTTTCTTGTTCCTTTTTATTGATTCTACAAACGATCAAATAAATATTTAGCCAGTAAGACATTAAAATGGCACAAGGACGTTACAAGTGCTGAGGGACATCAAGGGAAATATTTCATTCTCAGTTTTTTTGGAATAAATCTTTTTTCTTCGCATTCTTGAGTCATCTATCCCTCTCTGCAGCTGTTTTTGGGAGATAAAGGAACTCTGGTGAAGAGGGTGAGCTATCATGCCAGAACTAAAAGCCATGCAGTGTCCCATCCATCAGTATCCTCACCACAGCTTCTACCTTATTTGTATCTAACACAGTCACGGCCCAATGCTTTAACCAGAAAGAGGTCTGAAGTGTTAGTCTTGCAATAAAGAAATGGATGAAGCCATCCCAGAGCCACAGAATTGACACTATGAGATAACCTTACACAAGCTGTAATAGGAAAGCCCTGCTCATGGGGAAAAAAAAACTACTGTGCAGTGACTAGAAGGAGATCTCTTCAACCCTTTGTGGCATGGAGCAAAGGGAAGAGAGGTCTGGACAGAGCCCTGTCTAACAGAGCCCACCCTACTCTGCCTACCACCCATAGCCAGGCAAATAGTGTGAAGCATCAAAGTGGATAATCAACTACAAGAAACAGAGCAGAATCCCCAGGCCAGCACTACTGACCAGCTGCATCCTGCTTCTTGGAGAGGTGATACCACCATCACAAAAAAAACAAACCAAGGGAAAGCAAGACATATGGAGGGATGTTGAGTGAATGGAAGAAATTTAGGAAAAAATGCACATTAAAAATGAAAGGAAGAAAGGAAGAAAGGAAGACAGGAAGAAAGGAAGACAGGAAGAAAGGAAGAAAGGAAGAAAGGAAGAAAGGAAGAAAGGAAGAAAGGAAGAAAGGAAGAAAGGAAGAAAGGAAGAAAGGAAGAAGAAAAAAGGCCTTCGCCTTACCAAAGAAATCATCCCGTACTATGAGAGCCATCCCATAGGAGAAAGGGAACAGAAAGAGATGGGGACAAAGGGGAAGAAAGGAAGAGAAAAAAAGCAGCCATTAAGTACCAGTCTGTAAATAGCAAACAGAGCAGCTCATTAGCATATGTACATCTGTGTGTGGTGCCAGTATATGTGATGCTCAGTAGTAACTAATCCACACCTTGTTATCTGCAGCCTGGCCTAACAGGGATTTTGAACCTGAGATATCAGGACAAGCTTGAGATACGTTCATCTGTGTCTTCCATCTTCATCATTTCCCCTGCACCACACGTCTTTGGGTGTCCCATCCCCACAACAAAGGTAGTTCAACACACATTATGAATAGGGTGAGGGAAGGACACAGGCAGGAGGAAAAACAAAAGGGGGGTGGATATCAAAGATCTCATCTGGCCTTTTTGCACAGGCCCAAATCCACCTCCACACTGCCACAATTCCAACTCAACTTCAGCAGCACATTTTCTGAGAAAGGACCACAAAAAGTGGCTTACAGTAAGAAGTCTGAACTAAAAGAAAGGATGATGCCATCCCTTTCTTTTGTAACCTCACAGAGCCAACACCAAGAGGTGCCAGGCAAAGGAACATGACAGAGCTCATCGCCACACAGCATTATGCTATCGCGCTGCGTAAGGCACCTGCCTTTACTACAGGGAAAACTTCATCCAATTTGCACTGAAATCAAGAGAAATCCCCTTGACTTCATCTGAAATTGCAGCAGGGCCCAAGTGCATGTTATCGAAAGGTGTGAACCTTCTGATGACAGAGCATGGCCCTAAGGTAGTGAGTCTCCTTCACCAAAACAAGGCCAGAAAGGCAAAGCTTCAGTGAAAGACAGAGGCTTTGCCACTCTAATCCATCAAGAAAGTGTCTTTAATGTCACCACAGCTATTCCAGAAGAGGGCCAGTATGCATCAACTAACCCACAGCAGCCATCATGCACATGGAGGGATTCCTCACAGCATGGTTCACTGAGAGGAGGGTGGGAACCTAATTCAGCCCTGTGCCCACCTGAGCTCTGCTTGAAGCACAGCACCCCTCCTGACAGAAAAAAAAAACCACTTTGAGCCCCAAGACCTTGAGTGACAGACCAGTGTAACACAGTGGAGCAAACCTGCAGAAAGCCACACAAGAAAAGCTTATTGAAACTCAGCAGGCATGTGAGCACAGAGCAGGGATGTTCTGCCCAGGGACCCACCAGTGCAAGGCAACCAAGCGAGGCAAAGGTAGGAGAAGTCCGCAAAGCCAACCGTGTTTGGACAAGAGCAGGGGAGTATCACACGTGTATACCATGTCATTCAACCTCAACAAGGAAGAAAGAAACAAGAAAGGAAACTGAGCAGAGGAGATACACACCTGAGAACTCCCCTATGGGCCATGTCCAGCGAAGCACAGAGAGACAAGGGAAAAAAGGAAGTGAAAAAAGGATCAATCAGTGACTGAAATCAATAAAATAAAAATTTTGTTCAAAAAAAATTAACAATGATTCAGCCATTTCAATGTCAAAAGGCATGAAATAGTAAGGACAGGGCCTGCCATGACTGTAGATGGCATGACTCTACATACAGGACATAAAAAAAAATTCAAGGGAAAGTAACCCGTGGTACAACTTCAACCACATGCCTCAGCTACCCCCACTTTTCCAGACATGAATCTCAGGCAATCGCATCTTCCTGGACTGGATAAACCTTTATTTTCACTTTATTGAGTCATGTACCACTAAATGCAGAACAGCTAGTTCCCACTACCTTCTCATTTCCCCTCCCTTTGTGATTTTAGCAGCTAGATTTTCTGATAATAAATGTGTTCTTCAACGACACTTCAGCTTGCAAAAGACAATTAGTTGCATTTAAAAAACTTTTTCTTTTCTTTTTTACAGTGCGGCGCTGGAACTCAGTTTGATAATCCCATTTCAACTTCTGTACAAAAAACTTACCACTAATATGGCTGAAATTCTGTCTTCACCACAAAACCCCTGTTATTTGAAGGAAGGTTTTAATGTCCAAAGCAAACACAGTTGGGCATCCTAAAACTGAAAGGACGGACCTGCCCATAGCACACAACCAAACTGCTAGCGCTCCTTCGTGTCTAGAAACTCTTGGGATAGTGAAGAGCAGGAAGAGGGAGATAGAAGAAGGGGGAGCCTACTCAGGATTGGGAAGTAAGAACCTGAGATTAACAAGTGAATATGCAGGAAAACAGTCAACTAGTGTTCCTCAGACTGTAGTGAGAAAGAAGGGTCTACAATTACCACTAGTAAATAATTGTTCTCATTCCACATTTTTCTCCAGAATACTTCCTATACAAACTCATGTATGTAAA